TTTCTTTCTTTCTTTCTTTCTTTCTTTCTCATAATAACCTCTTGCTCCATACTCACAGGCTACCCCTAAATCTTTTTTTTTTAGGGGTAAAAGGCTACCCCATCCCAGAAGCTGTTTAAATTTTTGGTAATAGTTTTCCACCATTTGAAGCAAAAAATCCATGCAATCTATACTATGCCCTAAAATAGGTTTAAAACAATTTTAAAAATGAACACCCTGGTGTAAAACCCAGAAAAAATCGTGTTTGAACAAATCTCCTGCAACCTTGATTCTTCAAAGTATCAACTGTGGACCTTGGTAAAAGATATAAATCCCTCAAATAAATTAGTAAATAAAGAAATATGGTATTTATGTTATTTGAAGATTCTAATACTAGCTATTATAATACCTCCAAAGCAGTGACTTTTCCACCATATTAGCCTCCATATTAATATGTGATACAGATATAGCATGAAGGTTATTTCTTACCATCTGTAACTTCCAACTGAGCCTTTGCTAAGATACTTCCAGCAACAGTGAGTGCTTGACAGATGTAATATCCTGCATCAGCCCGCTGAATATTTGTAATAGTAAGATCCCCAGTTGGTGACACAGAATACCTGGTGTTGGGCTGCAGAGGCTGATTTGGAAAGAGAAGATTCTGTAAAGGCAATGCAAATCATATTAGTTCAAAAGCTGAATCACGAATGCTTTTCTCAATAACAACAGTGTTCTTCTCAGTGGGCACAATGGTATAGATGTATGGTTGCATAACTTTGTAAGAGACAAATAGTTGGTGAACTCTTTAATTGGAACTTATTATGTATCATTTTTAACACTGTATCTGCACATAGGAAGACAGTTTTATTGGAAAATAGTTTTTTCTTACTGATGAAATATAGATTTGGATATTATCATTTGGATATTATAATTTAGGTTATTGGTTTTGTGGGACACTTCAGATGCTTTCCTATAAATTAAAGTTCCCAAACAGAATAAAATTTAGAAATCATTTTAATCATAAACTCTACAAAAACAAATAACTACGCAAGGAGCTATGCCAGTAGATATTAAATTTCTGAAAAGAAAATATTATTTCCCATTTGAATTTAAATAATCAGAAGTTAGTGAGCACTTCTTATGATTTTTAAGGAAACTGACCTATAATAATTTGTGCATGCTATTAAATGGGATATTGTGATGCTGAATTTAAGGACTGAATTTTTAAAATATTGACTGTGTTTTTACAGGGATTTCCTAAATCATGATTATTTTTTTTTAATAACAAATCATAACAGCATGTTCTAAAACCAACAAAATCCATGTTATGGTTTAGTGAATAAGGGCATCCAGCCATTAACAACAGAGTCAATTATCCAAATACTATGTTGCAAAAAATGTGGCTCACTTATTCAAGAATACTAGAAATACATTGCTGCAATCCAACAGAGAATGAATAAAATATACATATTCTTTGGCATAAAGGTGGTGCATTTTGTATGAAATATGACTAAAAACTTAAGTGAAATAACGACTGAAGGACAAATGTGTGGTGTATAAACTGCCATCATGAAAAATCCAGGGAGAATAATTACCTCTCCTCCTATCCAGATGGCAGCACTTAGTAAAACAGCAAAAAGAACCAGTCCATTGTAAAAATGCCTTAAAATTTACATTACTAGGTTAATATAAGTAGCTGAATTCCACATGATCATAGGAACATTATGAAAGAGAATGGTCTTTCTTTTTCTTTCTTTTTGAGGAAGGAAATGTAAAATTAAATGACAACTACAGTAGGTACACAGAAGAAAAAAAAATTATACTTTCATATTCAATGTTGGCAAACATGCCCTTGTATTCATGATAAAATGCAATGACTGGACTTTTAAACATTTAAAAGGTTGATGTCTCACTACAAAGACCCAAATTTTTTATATCAGAGTGGAAACATTAACCTGGTTAACCTCTGTTGCTTTACTGAAGCTCAATTAAGAAAACAACATGTGGGTATAATGAATCACATTGAACTATGTTTCAAGGTTTGATTATAAACAACTGAGGTATCAATTTTTATGTTACATTTATTTGCCAAAAAGAGAACATTTAAGCCCTCTGGGAACTTGGTCTCAATATTGTAATTAATTCTACAGGTTTGTAATTAAACAGCTTCAACATGTTACAATCAGTAGGTAACAACATTCAATTAAAGACACAAGATACATTTTCACCTTAAAATGTTTTACCCTTGAAGTAATACCAATGAAAGTGGATAAAATAGGGTATTAACACTTTTCAATTACGCTAAATGACTGTAATCCTGCAAATGATATCCTACTTTAATTAGAAGCTCTTCTCTTTATTACATCATGATGGATGTCCACTTTATTAGATTCAAGTGTGACACTATAAGCCCACTTTACATAAACATTACCATGTTATTAAGACCATTTTACAATAAGGTTTTTAAAATGTTTGTTAACAATTCTTGGTTTAATTTAAAAAATGGGCATATATTTTCTCCTCAAAGCAATTTTCTCAATAGCAAGCCAATAATACATTTCTTCATAATGAAGCCAACTTTTAAAATGTATGAACCAGTACTTCAAACAATGCTTACATTGCACATTGAAGCAAACAACCAGAAAAACCTATAGAGCTTTGAAACAGTGAAATATACAACCACTGGTAGCAGAAAATGCTGGATCTACATCTCTGTGATTTTCCAATGTACAGTGGTTATATTTAAAAATAACAGATAAATTATTTCTTCAATTTGTAAAGGGTGTCAACTTATATACTTCATCAGTTTAAGTGAAATATAACTCAGATAATAGTTCAGTGGCCCAAACATATGGGTGCAGACCTTCACATAAGCTGACTGCTCTCAAAAAAGACATAGAAATAATTTCTTATTCCATAGAAAAGGGCTGTTGTGGTTGTAGAATGCGGAGAACAAGGCTATTTTTTTTTTTTAAATCCAGGCTATTAGTGAGACAAAGGGCTAGCATAATATATTTATATTCTATGACAATTTATCAGATAGTAAAAGAAACTAATCATTGATATAATGATCTAGTAAGATTAATTCGATGTGTTTCAAACTCTTGAAAATAAGTTGAAATAAAATAATAATTATTTAATTATTATTGCCATTCACAATACTGATATACATAAATAGGGGAATTGTGCTGGCAAATATTTTTCAGTTCTTTTCCTAGTATGAATTTTTTATTTTACATAGCCACCATTCATTGGAATAATGGTTCAGCTTAGTTAACTGTTAGAACAATACCATTCTTCTTGTGGCAATGGTGATGTCCAATAAATAGTGGTCACTGGGATCCTTGAGAAATACAGAATAGTAAATGTTCTATACATGAACTTCCCAGGTTTTCTAAAATAGCATTTCTCTCTCTCTCTCTCTCTCTGTCTGTCTCTCTCTCTCTCCATATATATATATATATATAATTAGTTGCATGTATTCAGTGTAAAAATGTTGAAGGTTCTGCAAACCTTCAAAGCACTCATTAGGGCCACTTTCCTGGGACTGCCTGCAAATTGGAATATGACCTGCATAAGCCTTCCAAATAATGCTGTTGCTTTAATGCTTTGAGGAGAGCTTCTCTCATGCAAATACCCTTTATGATACAGCCCTTCCAAAGCCTTGTATAGCTATAATAATGATACGTGAAAGAAAGGATTCTCATTTAAAAGATTTACCTGGCTGCCTTCTTTTTGCCAAAACACTGCTGGCTGAGGATTTCCTTTAGTTTCACATGGAAATGTTACTGTTCTTCCTTGGGCAACAATCTGATCACGTGGCCTTACCACAAACTGTGGAGGTGCTATGAGGGGAGAAGTCAAAATAAAATGTTAAGAGGTGAAAAGTTTTAACAGCTATATCAAAAAGTAAAAGGTTACATTTTTAATTTCAGAAATCAACTTTGATTCATAAGAAGATGTACTTTATAAAAATTGTAAACGTCACAAAAGCTGAGTTAAAGACCAAGGAATACCATTGCTTGAAAGGAGTTCAGAAATTGTACCATAGCATGTCTTGAAGTTATTCTCTGCCAAAGTGTGTTCCCACCTCTTGCATGGTACACATTAGGTCCTTAGGGTAACTATATAAAATTGGAAACTCTGAAATCTAAATTCCTAAGAAATATCTTCCAAATTCCATGCTGCACCTCAAACATAGCTCTCTATTGTGAGGTATAGATCAAAACTAAGATTTGGCTTTTTTTTTTTAACCTACTGATTAGAGCTATTTTTTGTCACTTTTGACACTAACAAATAATTTCAGTGTAGATGGAGGAGGTATCTACTAGATAAGCTGCAATTCTAGGGATTTCCCAAGGAAGCTCTCTTTGTAAAGGGTTCTAGATTACAAACAGGGCAAAATGGTATTGACCCAGCATGTGCTGGATTTAGAAAAACAGTTAGGTCAGTCTCAAGTACCCAAATATCTTAAGTAGAGATATCCAGTGATGGAATACAAAAAGCCCTACCACTGCCTTCTTAACCATATTGAATTGCTTTAAATTTAGAATTTTAGCGATGCTTTTCATTAATTCCTGCCATTTAAATTTTAGTTAGGGATATAATCTTAGCTTTAAACAACACCATGATTTTATTGTTAGTTTCTAGGTTACTCATATCTCAGGTTTTAGGTCTTTTTAGCTTAGCATTAATAATAGCGTATTAGTATATTATATACCAATACATAGAAAGTCATCATAATTGATGTATTCTTTTTTGGTGCTGTTGTTCATTTTTTTTTTTTTTTAATGCTGGTCTTTGACCTAAGTAAAGATGATACTGATACTGATACTACAGCATCCACACATTTTAAATGAAAATAAGTATAACCTTTTTTCCCTCAAAAAATCCCAAGATTTGGAATTTGGGGTTATAGATTTCTGTAAGTCAATAGTTTAACATTCATCCATTTGTTATTTCCAGTTTATTAAGAAATAAAACATGCAAAAATTGCAGCAGGCTTCATTTCATCTGCTTTCACAGGCTACATATGGGTATCTATACTATATAGAGTGAGACACTATGTAAGACAGTAAGACACCTTATTCCAAAGGTGGACAAACTCTCAAGGATCAGTGGCCATAGATCAGCCTCTGGATCTTCTGTAGGCCCTCCAATAATTTAGTGAATTGGAATAGGGCTGTCTTTCCTTGAAGGAATTAAAATTATGGGAATTGGGAATGGGAAACCTTTGGGAGTCAAAAATCCCCTTGAAATCTAGAACAAGCAGAAGATTCATAACATACAAATGTGGCAATTTTGCTGCCAAATTTTGTTGGCATGCTTTCACAGAGATGGGGACCTGCAAATAAGGCACTTGATGCTACATGCATCTAGAAGGATTTTTTTTTTTTCTTCCCCTTTTGGTCTATCTGCTAGCCTAAACAAAGGAAACCTAAAATATCTGATAAAATCGTTATTTGTTCTTGTGCTTTGTCTTAAAGCAATGCACATGTGTATGCATGAATGCTGATCAAATCTCAGTTAAAAACAAAATACTTCTGCAAAAGAGTATGTGAATTAAGATTCCTTTCTGTAAGATGTAAAGGAGGAAAGAAGGCAGCAGACTTTCAAACTGTGGGAAATTGTACGTGTACTTATTTTAGAAATGATCTTAAAAAAAAAAGCTAGTAGAATCTACAAAACAATAATAAAAAGAATTGGGAAGAGCCAGTTAAATTTAAATTTTCAAAAGTTTTTTTTTCTATATATGGGGCCAAAAATCAGGCCCACTGACAATTCATTATACAAATTACATTAAATATTTGAATTGGCCGCCATTCTTCTAAACACTTCCTTACTTGTTTGAAGCATGACCTTTAAACATTGCTAAGTACAGTAACATTTTCTCTGGAAAAAAACAACAACTAATGAAACATATTGTGATTGGCCTAGGGGCCTGACTTTTGGTATACCCTGTATATTATTATTTCCATCTCAATTAGTTACAGTTTATTAACTAATGCAAAACCCATATTATCCAATATTTTAAATAGCATTTGCTTTCTAGAGATATTTATATAATCACAGAACAAAGCTGTTTTAGTTATGTACTGATTTCACTAGACTTTTATGCCACTGCAACTGGCAGTTGACTTTGAGTATCTTATAATCCTACCCTAGCCAAACAAGATTAATGAAGAAAAAAATAGCCAAACAATAAACAATATTTTATAATAAAATATAACAATATATTTAATTTAATTTAATATAAAAATATAATAAAATATTCCTATGCCAAGGAATCATAAAATTCAAATGAAAAACATATGAACAGTGGTAGATGAATTTTCCAATTAAAGCAAATCAACGTTATTAGTGCTATATGATGTATTATTTTCTTTCATTCTGAAACATGAAAGTAGAAAGTGAATCTACTGCACTCATATATTTAGGCCTTATTTTTATATTTTGAAAATATAAGTTGCCCCTCTATGCATGAAGTAGTTTATTAGAATCACCATAAACTCATTTTCAGACTTTATGTAATAGAATAAAGAATGGCTAATGAATGTATAAATACAGAAAATTAAAAGAGACTAAATGTAGAAGAAAAATAGACTATGTATTTAATTTAAATACAAAAATTAGTTGATATCTTGCATCTTTGTATAAAATAGTAGAAGCCTTTGTAAAAAAATAATTTTAGAATCTGTAACTGCTGTTTAAAATGCTGGTTGCAATATATTGTTACACATCTGATCATCTAAACTTTTGTTGAAAGAAACATTTACCATGTAATAAACAAGAAATTACTATTTACTGCTTCTGCTGCAACTTTAAGAAATTCATAGAAAATGGAATAGAAAGCAGCAGTTATAGTTTATTTTTGCAAGAGAGAGGTAATATTAAAAAAAAAAAGAAATAATGACTTTCAAATAATTAGACAAAATTACAAAAAATATCAATGACTAACACCAACAATTACAATTAGAGGCCTGAAACCCTCTTTTTTTTTGGTAGTATTCTTTTTAAAAGCAATTTAAATACTACAAATAGTAAATTAGACTTGATTTCTACCAAATTATGCTTTGATACTGCATTCAGCAAGCACTGGCTTCAATCAATGTCACGCTAAACCTGTGTTATGCTAATAACAACTTGGGTGAGTAAGTAAGCTGAAATGGAAATGACATGGTTGAACATGAGTAGAAAGCATAGGGCAAATACGAGGTGGATTTTGAGATGAGAGAATGGAACCTAAGGTTAATCACATCATGTTCAGAGTTGTTTATACAGTAGTTGATTGTATTCACTAGCAGGAATTAAAACTGAGGCAGCAAAACCAAAGTTATATGCATTGGTACATTATTCAACATAGTAACTTGCTTTTACTCTTTTTAGATGTATTTTGTGCCTGAATGAGTAACTTTTAAAGTCATATTCATTAAGATATCATTTTTTGTTGTCCTTAATCTTTGAAAGTCTTCATCTCTCAAAGGAATTCTTTTCTTGTTTTTGTGTAGTAGCAGTAAAAATAGCAGTATGTAGCATATATCTCCAGTAGGATGAAGACCATCTATTTTACAACACACTGTTGTTATCTAATATTAAAGAGATTTCACGCCTAGGGATTGAAAAGTATAAAGACAACTAAAGCTGAATGACTTCATATCCCTTATGCATATGGTAAGGAACAACAATGATGAATACAAATCAGCATAGCAAAATGAGTCACAGTAATTACACCATTCATTGATAGGAAGTGAAGATAAAAAAGCTAACGAATGCTGGTAATTTCCATTATATATTTTAGAATATTGTGGTAATCAGATTAATTTAACAGAAATTTCACAAATAGGTAGCTTCATTAAAAAGATAAAAACCTGAATTTGGTTTAAAAATATTTGACCAGCTCTGTCAAAGGGAATTAATCCCAACTGGAAAGAATAACATTTTCTTATATTTGGAATGCAACTATAAAAGCACAGAATAGCAACACCAAAACTAATACTATTTAAATATTAAATGGACATTCATGAAATGTGTTTAAAGTTTCTTGAAAAGCTGATAGTTCAAAAGTAGGAGTTCACATGAAACTTGCATGATTTATTAACACAATGTTTACATCAAAGGAAGTGGACTACCAAACAATATCTTTAATTCATATTACAAGATCTAGCACAGATATGTTCTGAATGTCCTCTTTCACCTGTACTTAAATTATTGTCTATACAAGGCTGAAAGTTTAATTGCATAAATCTTTTGACTTTGAGATTTATAACCTAAGTAAACTGTTTTTGACTTCTGAACTGAAAGTAGTTGATGTGCAGTCCTATTAACCTGATTCTTGGAACTGCTGTTTCCTGAACTTGTGGCTCTTCTAATAATTCCACTGGCACTGGACAGTTCAGAAATGCTCATGATTTAATGACCCACTGATTTATGGAGGTAAGTTTTATTGGGGCCTCAACATTTTTTTTAATGGCTTTTTCTTTTAATTGTACTGTGTATTCTTGTTCACTGCACAGAGTTCCTGCTGGCAGATTGGTAACCATATAAGTTTGGTGAACTATCTATCTATCTATCTATCTATCTATCTGTCTGTCTGTCTGTCTGTCTGTCTGTCTGTCTGTCTGTCAGTCAGTCAGTCTATGTATACTTATGTGTGCGCATGCACGTACAATGAGTTCTTTTAATAAATGAGTAATAATGTTGCTTCTTTTAGCATTCAGCCTTAAAAACAAGATCAAAATAACTGCACAATCTATAGTGTAGATCACTATAATGAATGTAAGGACAGAAGTATTTGTGTATTTGTATTTCTTACATCATTCAGATATTTATTTAAGTTTTAATTCCA